ACATGCCAAGTAGTCCAACTAGATATGACGCTTCCATATGGCCTGCCGTGGCTGCAACGCGCATCCCAGACAATGCTTCCACATTACCCTGCCTGAAAAACATGTCGAACGCTTCTCTAAATATCGCCTCAGGGTTCTGGCAAGCCCTGCATTGGTCCACGAAATGCCGGACCTGCGTTGCGGCATAGTACCAGTTAGGATGGTCTTGGTACTTTTCCATTGAAATTGTGTTCCACACTTGTGGAGTGTTTGCCAACGTATTGAACAATCGGGCACACACATGCCATACGAAAGAGATCTTCCGAGGATTGGGTTGCCACGTATAACATCACTTTAAACCAAGCTAATTCCGGGATGAAGGCTTGAGGCACATCCAGATCGAGATGCTTCCTTCTCTTTCCTCCGACTGTAGTGTAATGTTTCGAATTCATTGAAATATTTTTGGAATGGAACGATTTGAGGACTGCAAGAGGGGAGAAATGAGAATATACGGGGTTTTGGGTTTGTTTTAGCCTCTGGTTTGCACTGTTTTGAAAAGGTGTTTCCTTGGGGTTTTTCCAAGTTGACACTTTTTAAAGAAACTGAACTCAACACCCAAAACATAAGACAGGCGAAGGGAAAACGTCATCAAAATGCAAAGGGAGTCAGACCGTCCAAAAGTCAATTAATAACCTATTTCCATAGCCATTGTTAGGCTTTTCCCGCCATTAAATTCATTGATACAAATGTGATGGATTACTGACTAGTGACAGAAGGTCCCATCAGATACTTTTTCATTTTCCCACACCACACTACCCCTATTAAATGACGGATTCTTATCCAACTAGTTGCCTTAATGCAATATAAAGAAAATAATATATTTAAAGCAGTGTCCCCTCAATTGTAAGATTAATTTGTTGTGAAATAGTATATCGCTTTATCGGAGTAAAATGTGTCACAATTCTGACGGTACAGGTGTCCAGATCGTGACCAACCCACCCACACACAGAAAAGAAGGATATAATTCGATTTGGGCAGAGATGAGAGAGAGCTGAGTGAGAAGTTTAGGGTTATGACTTATGAGTGAAGGGGTATAACTCAGAAGGTATGAGTCCGAAGAGGTTTTAGTGAGAAGATCTGAGTGAGAAGAGGTACAAGTGATAAGATTCAACATGTCTTCGTCTTCATCTCCCGCTCAAACAAAGAGGTGTCAGTATTGTGGAGCTGCAATGGTGCTTCGGGTTTCAAAATCAGATAAAAATCGCGGGAAGCCATTTTGGAAGTGTCTAACCTCCTATGTAAGTTCTCATTTCCAGAATATGTATGTGGGTGAAAAAAAAATCCTAGGTCTAACTCTGACAGAATTATTTTGCATATATGATGCCTGCAATTAGGGAGCCACCAGTTGCAATGGATTCGAATGGGTTGATGTAACCTCCGCTGAAGCAGATCAGCAAGCTGACACGTATGATGCTACAGTGCTTAATATGCTGAAGTCCATTAAGGACTTGGTATTAGTTTTATTAGTTGTATCAATTGTCATATTATTTGTTCTTTTAATGACCAATTAAGTGCACGGTTTCAAGGATTGTAAAAGTTCTCCCCAAAAACACATGTTGCACGCACCACCAATGACTTTTCAAACCCAATTTGTAATTTTTGTTATTGAAATAGGTGGATTAGCATTGAGTTTAAATTATTGTTTGAAACAAAAGCATTTACTTTGTCAGAAACCCAGTAAAAACTTTCCTACAGTTACTTTACAAAAATAAAGTCATACGAAGACGATAAAATGACAATACAGGGCCAATACGATGCAATAATAAGACAATACCTTTTTTTTAAGATTGCATAATTATTCAGTGTATATAGATTGTTTATTGATTGTTTACTGCATGTAAATCGCATGATATTGACTGTTTATTGAAGGTTCATTAACTGCATGTATTTCGCATGTTATTACTCCGATATTGAGTGTTTATTGAAGGTTTATTGATTGTTTACATGTTTCGTGAAGGTTTCATGATTGTTAACTGCATGTATTTCACATGTTATTGAACCGATATTGAAGGTTTATTGAAAGTTGATTGAGTGTTTACTGCATGTATATCGCATGTTATTGCTCCAATATTGCAAGTTTATTGGGGGCAAAAGTAGGACTCCAGTTAGATTTAAGGGGGGAAACGGTCCTTATTCTTTGTTTTCGTAGGAAGAACAACTTAAGTAGAATTTCCTATTCAATACGACTTCCTTATGGTTGATGTAATTGGGGACTGATGTATATTGCATGTCTATTGCGTGTATATTTCATATCTATTGCGTGTATATTGCTTGTCTGTTGCCTGTGTATTGTTATTTATTTCCGTCGTAAGCAATACAAATCAATACAGACGCAATAAATGTAAAGATATGCACGCAATAGACAAGCAATATAGACCCAACAGACATGCAATATAGACGCACCAATATACATTACTGTTATGTTACTCAGCTGCCCAAAACCAATAAAATAAAGAAAATCAACCAATTTATTAACCGATTATAAAGGAGAGAGGGATTCAAACCCGAGGGGCAGTGCGGAACCAATAGGGAGTTTTTAGAGCATTGCACCTGGGGACATTTTTTCATGTGTTTCTATAAGGAGGGCATGGTTGAATAAAATATTGGAGGCGAGGCCATAGCAGCCTATTCCCCTTACAGAATTACCTTAAGATGCAACCCATTGCGATTAAGTCAAGGCATGTTGAACGGCTTAAAGATTGGGATCTGATATTTGGAATGGTGGCTTGGATAAATGATGACATATCACTTTGCAATGATGTAATACACTTAAAAAGCCATCAGTCCGTATGTGAATATGCATTCTTCAAATCCAAATTCACATATGCAGTCTTCAAATCCCAATTCAATGCAGTTTGGTTGAGGTTAGGTAAATGTCGTGAAGGAGTTAGGCCAATATTACACCGATGTTTGTTTCATTACATCAAAAAAAACTTTACACTCCATATGCACATTCTATGTATGGGAATGGCATGTGTCTAACTTCAAAAACGCATCTGCCTATCCATTTAGATTGCCCACGTGCAATAGATTTACAGATCCATTTACTTTTCTCCTCTCCAACCCTCAGCATCTCCATTTCAGAGTCTTCATTTTTCTATGCTCTGCAACCAGCTCCATATACATTTTCGCACAATATGAGAATACACATAGCGTAATATCACACTAATCAAAATGAAAGCATGCATCCGCTATAATATTTGCCACTATTTTGGTTCTAATTGTTATTGTCCAGTAACTTAAATCTAAATTTCTGTACACAAATACACTAAGATTGAGAAAGACGAAGAAGAATTCAGGAGCAGAGGTGGAATTCGAAAAGGACCCATGGGTCTCTATTGTGTATTTACATGACTTTGAAATTTGACATTCCCAAAACCTATTTCATCATCATGTGCCTAAACCAAGTTCAACCGATATCATGGCATGTAAGCATCTCCCCGTGCAATTTCTGCAGCCAACTTCAACCGAAAAAATGGCATGTTCTGCGAGGTGCAAGTAGCTAAGGAAATCTCAGCACTCAACAGCTCAATGTACTTCAACACGAACATACCACAATCGCCTCTGAAGCAAAACAAGAACTCGATCAATTCAACTAATGACATTCTAACATAATTGACAAATTAAAGTAATAAAATTAAATAAAAAGTTGTGCTCACTGATTAGCCTGTTGTGGAACATCCACACGATGTATTGGCCATGGACACCACCAATCTCGGGTGCACTCGTTCGCGTAAACACCTTCTTCATAAAAGTCGAGGGTGTGCAGAAGATTTGGAATCGTAATTGACAGGGGGCCGAGTTCTTCCTTTAAGCTCTGATCTGGAATGAGTGAAACCATTGAATCGTAGACTTTGATTTCACACTGAATCAGATCAATCTCTAGAGCCACCCAATGCTTATATTTTTGCAACATACAAGGTACATACACCTTATACGTGTTCTGCCAATCCAATCCACAAGCCGGAACCTTGCCATTTACAACGTTCACTAAACTGGTTCTAATTTTCCACCCAACTTGCTCTTTTTTCCTTTTATTATCCGCAAAGCAAGTATGGATGTGATTCTGTGAAATAGAAAACAATCAATGGTTAAACAACTCCACAAAGCAAGTATGGATAATTTGTAATTATTAACTGCACTTGGTCAAGGCCTATGCCATACTGATGTAGCACAGCCCTGGGTGTGTTAGTTTAAACACTTAGAGCAATAAGACATAACAGATAAGAAAAGCTGAAGGGAAGAAAAGGTAGAAGGCAGGCAGAAATCAGAGAGTTTAAAGGAATGTTTAATCAATATTCAAATCTGAATTGTAAAGAACTACACAGGGGTATTTATAGCAAACTAAAACCTAGAGAGAATAGAATTAAAATCCCCAGGTAAAACAGAAATCCTATTCCTAATAAAATAGGAAACTTAGAAATCCTAATAGGATTTGGAAAACTAACTTAGAAATCCTACTAGGATTTGGAAAACTAAAGAATATAGGAAACTAACCATAAATTAGGAAACTAAACAATTTAGGTCCTATGCATCCTGCATCACATACCATAAAAAATACATCGGTCGTTGTCCAATCCGATATTTCTACTTCCTCCAACTGTTGTTGTCGCTTCCGGATGAGATACAAGCCCAAATCAATGTGCTGCACATGTTTTCCTTGTCAATCTCATTATCTATGCACATTCAAACAAATGCATAATCAATTAAACTTACATCTCCTTTCAGCCAGCCGTCAGCTTTGACGAGGGAAGCGAAGAATTCAATCTCAGCTTCCACGTTGCCAAATTGCATCACCAAACTATGAATATAAAAAAGTTTTAGAACACAACAATTACAAAATATATACACTCATGCCTTCTATCTCAAAAAACAAAGGACTTACTTTGGGTTATGGCGCCATTCCGAACAAAGTTTCAGCAATTTCACCATATCATCATGCGGAATCGCCTTCATTGGGTCTAACGTCCGAAGTCCGGTTGTCTTTGGCAAATTTTTTTAACCACTTCACTAGCTTCAACGATCTTCCACATAGGAATAATCCTCTTCCTCTTCCGTAATTGGACCCCTCGTTCCACACCTTGACCTTCATCATTCAACCAAACGTTCAACTGAGATAACACAGCTCTAGGTTGATCCAAATCAATGTCCCCGACAGTAACCTCAACCTTTGTCCCCTCCGTGCTCTCGCCAATGTCATCGCCAACCAACATAACTTCATCATCCTCTTCCTCACATTGGTTTCTTTGCACTTCCTTTTCCTCACTTCTCTGTCTTTTCACTTCCTTGCCCTTCTTTTTTTTTTTCGGATCCTCTCCCTCACTGCTTTTTCTTTGCAGTTCTTCCTCTCCCTCAATGCTCTTTCTTTGCGCTTCCTCTCCTTTGCTGCTTTTTATTTTCACTTGCTCTCCCTCACTTCTTTTCCTTTGAGCTTCCTCTACCTCCCTTGGTTTTCTTTGCACTTGGCCTCCTTCAATCCCCTCTCTTTCCTTTTCCTCTCCCTCATTTCTCTTACTTGGCACTTCACCCCCTTCAATCCCCTCCTCTTCCTTTTCCTCTCCCTCATTTGTCTTACTTGCCCCTTCACCCCTTTCAATCCCCTCCTCTTCCTTGTCCTCTCCCTCATTTCTGTTATTTGGCCCTTCACCCCCTTCAATGTCCTCCTCTTCATTTGCCTCTCCTTCATTTCTATTACTTGGCCCTTCATCCCATTGCATGCCATCCACTTCCTCATATCCCTTAAATAGATGTGACACGACACAACGATTCGTCCTCTCTTTCAGTAAAGCTATGTCCCTTCTCACTTCCTGCTCAAAATGAGGACCTAAACAGTGGCCCAAATTTTTTCCATCCGTATGACCTTTAACTCAAGGACGTCCTTTTCCCGCTTTACTTGAAACAACTCGGACCTCAACAAGCTTACCGCCTTGTTCAACTCATCAAGGTCAGCACATGAAGAAGGAATTGACTCTGCCGAGACAACAGCAGGGCGACCCTGTGGCCAACTCCAATATGGTTGTCTCATTTCCTCTTCACTTGGACATAGCGCCCGCAACTGAACTGACTGTTTCAGAAAACAGACAAGAGTCATATGCAATCATTCTACTTCATAATTTCATTGAATCTTATAAATAGTTCCAAGGGCTGCAAACCAAACCTCTTTGCTCTGGAAAAAATAATTGTTCAACTTTCTCATCTCGGGAACAGACGTAGTAGTTCTCCATCGCAAAATACGCGGGAGAGCTGTCGGATCAACAACCTTGCAGTAATTCAGGTCCACCATTCTAGGAATTAATTCATATACCCAAATCTACACAATTCACAGGACACAAGTTATTATTTAAGTTTTAAAGTCAACAAAACATAACGACATGAACATTATTACCATGTACCTGGAAAGCATACGTGAAACCTTTAAAACTCCAGCCACCCCTTTGCACTTCACCATGGTTATCCTTCTTGCCCTTCTCATTTCTCCGGCTTGTTCCGGTTACCTTACATTTCCCCTTCCCTCTTCCCTCTTCATTTTCAAAGCTTTTCACATACTTTGTTGGTGCAGAAAACAGACTGTCTTGGGTTTTGTCAAACGACACCGAACCCCATGGAAACCTGTTGAACGCATCCAAGTCCTCTACAAGGGTCAGGTAATTTAGATTGATGTTCAAATGTTTGTCCCTTCCCAAAACCACTAACTCAGCAAAGTAAACAAGAGCTAGCTTGTAGACGTCATCTTCCTCTGTGCACCTCACAAATGCTTCTTCTAAAGCATTACATGTAATTCCTTCGTCTATAAAATATCTTTTCTGAAGTCTAATTTCATCACTTTCTCCACTGGAAACTTCAGGCACTTCCCCAAAACGAAGCCCTGAGATCAAACAGAAATCCTGACGAGTGAACTGAGCAACGTCGCACCCTATTAAGAAACTCAGTCCATCCAAGTCTTTCACACCCTGCCCCGCTACTCTACGCAACACAACCCCATGCACAATCTGCCCGCTAAACTGAATCTTATCTATATTCAGAAGATGGCCAAAGCATGATGTCTTGAATTGTTCTAATTGTTCGGCACTCAACTTCGCTCGAATTACAGCTAGGGATGAATTTGCATGTGAGCAGTTGTTCACCCGTGAGGAATATGCCTCTGACTCTGGCCATACCAGCTCAACGTTGGATCCCATTTCCTGAAATACAAGATGAAATAACGTGAACACATATACTACCACGTATTTGCACAATCACATTGGTATTTACACAACTAGTCAACCAGCACATTACAAATTTTACAAAGTACATGCGCATAGGGATTACTGATCACAGGCTTTAACATCATCAAAGCAATATGACATATTTTGTGCAAATACCTGTTAATGCAATGATTCTGTGAATTACAAGCACTAGCATGTGTTTTATTTATGGATCCAAACTCCAATCAATGGTTGATGCATGAGTGAGTGTGAGTGCAATCTAGGCAAGTTCTGCACTTCACACACATGACAATTATTGTCATTTCATACACAACACAAAATAAATAAATAAATAAATGAGAAAGATGGTGGAAGGAAGCAAAGCAAAGCATCTGCTCTGCTATCTGCTCGCTAAGCCATTGCCACATCCTTCTTTCTTTCTAGCTTTTTCTTCAGTCAGCCATAATCGTCATAGATCAACCTTTTTTCAAATGCTTTGCACTTTTATTCATGAGTTTATTATTATCTGTTCTCATTTTTAACAGGCAAATTTAGTAACAACGGAAATAATATTTATTTCAAAAATTATATATATTCTAGCTCCAGAGAGATAATCTGCACTCTGCACTGCTTCAAATGTGGAAGGTTTTGAGGGCCTCCTCCAATTCAACACCATTACCTTATTCATATCATTATTGACATGTTATTGACATGTTATTGACTTTATATTCATTCGTTTTTTAACATATACCCAAGCAAAAATTAACATGCAAGTGAAGCACAAAGAAGAGATGCCAAATCTAACAACATTCATGCTACAAATTGGGGAAAACGGTTACTCTAACCCTAAACTCAAATTCCATAAATTACTCACCAAATGCTGGTTATTGAACAATCGCAAGGTGTCTGTGTTGGGTCTTTGTGCGGCTTTGCTCCACAAATGGAACCTATCACTTCCAACGAATACGGCTTCTCTCCTTCCCCTTCCACTGCTTCGTCTTCACTGTTTCAGAATCCACGCCTTTGCTCCTTCCACTCAAAATAAATACTTTTTCACGGTTTAGATAGTGGAGTTGCGTTCAACCGTCGTTAACCTTTGCCTTCAACCGTCGTTGCCCGTTGCCTTCAACCGTTTCTCAGAGCTTAGCGGTTTCTCTCAGCTATGAGTTTGAGATCAATGGGTTTTTTCTGTTCAAACTTCGAACTTGCCTCTCTTTTTTTTTGTTGGGACCAACTTCATTGCTGGATATTAAATTCGGGTTTGGGTTCCTCACCTACCCGATTGCACAACTTTATCCCAATTCTCCCCAGCCCTTCGATTGATCCAATGACTATAAAGTGAACCCCTTATAACTTACCCCTTTTTTTTTTTTTTTTTTTTTTTTTTTTTTTTTTTTTTTTTTTTTTTTTTTTTTTTTTTTTTTTTTTTTTTTTTTTTTTTTTTTTTTTTTTTTTTTTTTTTTTTTTTTTTTTTTTTTTTTTTTTTTTTTTTTTTTTTTTTTTTTTTTTTTTTTTTTTTTTTTTTTTTTTTTTTTTTTTTTTTTTTTTTTTTTTTTTTTTTTTTTTTTTTTTTTTTTTTTTTTTTTTTTTTTTTTTTTTTTTTTTTTTTTTTTTTTTTTTTTTTTTTTTTTTTTTTTTTTTTTTTTTTTTTTTTTTTTTTTTTTTTTTTTTTTTTTTTTTTTTTTTTTTTTTTTTTTTTTTTTTTTTTTTTTTTCCCCCCCCCCCCCCCCCCCCCCCAACCCCCCCCCCACTACCACCCATTTACTAATATTAACTAAAAATACCACCCCTTCCCAATTTTTGCAAAACTATAACCTATAAATATAAAATTATTGTCCTCCTATTGCTGATTTATCACAAGTTCATAAATTTTGGTCTCTCTTAGCTCACGCAGCTCTCTCTCTCTCTCTCTCTCTCTGGCACAGCTCTCTTTCTCTTTGGTATTTCGCAGCTCTCTGTCTCTCTTGGCTCTCTCTCTCTCTGTAGCACAACTCTCTGTCTCTGTCTTTGCTCTCTTTCTCATACCGCAGCTCTTTCTCTCTCTAGATTCGTTATGTCTGTTTCTCCCCATATTCGGTCTTGCTCTCTGTTTGGAATCGCGAACCCCTACCTTTAGGTATGTCTTCTGAATAGCTGCTTGCAACCGTGAAGCTCTAGTGGATTGCCGACCTCGAAAAGGTAGTGTTGATGGTTATTTTCTTTTAATATCAGTGGGATTATGTGAAATGGGTTACATTTTGATTGTTTGGGTTTGTGTTAAATTTGTTTTGGCTTTAATTGCTTTGGGTTAGGTTTTGTTGAATATCCATGCTGATTCATCTGGGTTTGTACCAATTGCACTTAGATTGGTCTGGATATGTGAATCTTGAAACTTGGGATTTTCCATTTGATGTAGTAGATCTGTATAGTGTGATTCTGATGTGTTACACCAGTGTTCCTCTTATTTTACCGTCGTATTGTTGTTATGTTGCTGTTATATTGCCATTATATTGCTGTTATATTGCTGTTATATTGTATGGTTATTGTGGTTATATTGCTGTTATATTGCTGTTATACTGTATGGTTATTGTGGTTATATTGTGTTAATGAACTGTTGTTTTGTCATGGTCAGAAATGGAGACAATTGTTATTCTCGTGTGCTACAATGGAAAATGGGTCACCTCGAAGAAGATGTGCAAATACGAAGGGGGTGACTCAAAAGGCTTAATAGTTCCACGGACCATCAAATTTGCTGAACTGTTGGACCGTGTGCATCAGATTGGTAATACAAACAGCAGGGAAGACAAGGTTTGCTTAAAATTCTCAGTTTTGGTGGCCTCGAATGAGTGGAAGCACATAAAGATTGAGGATGATGATGATGTCAATTTTTTTATGAAGTACAATTCTGAGGTAACACCTTCAAAACTAGCTCCCTTACTCGTGAGTATAGAAGATAAAGGACTCACAAATGATGTAGTTGATAGTATGCATATCACGACAAATAGTAGTCGGATGGGTCCTTCTTCAGTCGCCATTGTTGAAAGCAATGAAGTAAGTTGGAATAATACAAATGGCAATGATGTGGGAGGTGAAGTAGGGACAGATTTTATGGATATGATTGATTTTAGCGAGGTGGAGGACATGCATGGTGGTGATAATGGTACTGAAAGAAATGAAGTGTCAGTGTACTCTGCCCCTCCTATTTTGGGCTGCTTGAACACATCTGCCCAACTGCCAATAATGCGTTTAGGAGGAGAATCTGAACCCATTCGTGAACATTATTGGAATCAAATAGGTGAACAGAACCGGTACAATGAAGCCGGTGTAAATGATGGGGAAGCATATTTGGATAGCGGGTGTTCGCGAAGTGATTGGAATCCGAAAATTACAGTTGGGCAAATTTTCTCTAGTAAGAAAGCATTGTTGACGGAGTTACAGTTGACGGCAATAAGAGGCCACTTCGAATTTAAGGTGCAATTCTCCTGCACAAAGAGGTTGCTTGTGGTTTGTTGTCAACGTCCATGCCCATGGCGGGTCCGAGCATCGAGATTTGGAGAATACAGCTTCATGATTGTGAGGTGTACAACTGTCCATGAATGTGATTTGAGGTTCATAAGTGACAACCATCGTCAAGCAACCGCAGCACTTGTAGCCACTTCATGTAAAAGGAAGTTGAAGGATTCTCGGACAATATACACACCAAGTGACATTATGAGAGATGTGAAACACAACTTTGGTTTAAGAATCCATTATTCGAAAGCTTGGAAAGCAAGGGAGTTAGCTCTATTGTCCATTAGAGGATCAGCGGAGGAGGCATATTATATTCTTCCAGCTTATTGCTATGAATTGGAGCGTATGAATCCCGGCACAAAAACACACATCCAAACTGATGAGAACAATCACTTTGTGTATTTATTTATGGCGGTTGGTGCATGTATTAGAGGGTTTTGTTCTTCCATGCGCCCAGTGATAGCTGTGGATGCCACTCATTTAAAATCCAAGTACAAGGGTGTTATGTTTGTAGCAAATGCATTCGATGGTAATCGAAATATATATCCTCTTGCTTTTGGGATCGGGGATTTGGAGACGGATGCATCATGGCATTGGTTTTTCACTAAACTTCATGAAGCCATTGGTGAGTGTCCCAATCTTGTTATTATTTCTGATCGAAATGTTAGCATACAGAATGTGTGGAACAAAGTTTTTCCAACTGCGCAACATGGCATATGCTTTTATCATATGAAGGGGAACATGAAACGCACTTGCAAGTTGAAAAAGCGTGATCCAATACTTATGCACTTTGAGCAGGCTGCGAAATCTTATTCCATTGCTGAATTTGATTGTCATTTTCGCAAGATCAAGCGAAAGGAACATGTTGCTCAATATCTTGAAGAGGCAGGGTTACATAAGTGGTCTAGAGCTCACATGGATGGACGCCGCTACAATGTAATGACAACAAATATTGCGGAGTCAATCAACTCAGTCCTTAGGTTTGCAAGGACGCTGCCAGTGGTTCATTTGATAGGGGAAATTATGAATCTCCTTGTCAAATGGTTCACCGAACGTCGTGAGTTGGCTTTGAAGTGCACAACAACATTGTGCCCCAATTTTGGAGAGAAGAAGTTGAGGAACAGGTTGGAGGATGCTGCAACGATGAATGTGGTTAAAGTGAATAATGCACAGTTTAATGTTTTGGACGGTCATATGGATGGCCTCGTAGATTTGACGAACAACACTTGCAGTTGTAGAAAGTTTCAGCTTGAGCAGCTACCTTGCAAGCATGTAGTTGCAGTTTGCCGCTTCTTGAAAGTAAATGTATACTCAAAGGCTTCTCGGTATTACACTCGGAAAACCTGGATGGATGCTTATTCGGATAGCATCTACCCGATACAGCCTCACGGAATGTGGGATATTCCTGAAGATGTTCGAAGTCGAGTTGTGCTGCCTCCCATTGCAAGGGTCATGCCAGGCAGACGAAAGAAGATAAGAATTCCCTCGCAAGGAGAGGGCACCATTAGAAGAAAGTGCTCAAGGTGTGGTTCCGCAGGCCACAATAAAAGCACCTGTAAAAACACTATTCCACTGCGCAATGTATCTTAGACAATATGATTTCTGTTGCTTTGGTAGGTCATGTCAACTTTACTTTTATTTGTGGTGGGTTTCGTGTTATGTTGAATGGGAATTCTTTTACATTTGCATAATTTGGGTTGCATTGCTACAGCATGCTGTATTGCGTCCAGATTGCCATTATATTGTACTTTTATTGCCATGGTATTACTTCCATATTGCTATTATAATTTGAGTGCGAAATTAAAGGGCCTGGAATGTAATTCCAAATGGATCCAAAACATTCAAGTTCTTTGAATTCCTTTATGACACAGTTACCGTGATACTCCGACTATACCTTCTTTTGTGATTACAAATTCGGCCGATGCATAGGCCACATGTGGGGCAAATACAAGGTGAAATGTCCTATGTGTTTGACTACATATCGTTGTTGAAGGAGCATTACGAATGTTAACCCCAATAGATTGCTCATGTCCAATGGATAATTTAGGGGTTGAAAGAGGAAGGAGCACGAGGTTTTGGGGTGTCATGTTTCTGTAATTGGGGGGGGGGGGGGGGGGGGGGATGTGTGCTACAAGGCATGCATTATATATATAGAGTTCATTTTGAAGGTCTGTAATGTAGGTCATATGTCTTTTAAGGGATGTATAATTCATCCTTTTTCCAGGTTGTAATTACTTTTATTTTTTGTATTTTTGTATTTTTTTGGACCAAATAATTTTAAAAACATTCTGATGACTACGTACTGTAATATGATCATATTGTAACCCTATCACTACTCTATTGCACCCTTATTGACATAATATTGCCATTATACGCATGTTTATTGTATAGTTATTGCTGCTATATCGCCACTCAACTGGACACTGATAAACTGTATACGCACAAAAACAAAAAGAGGCATCATCATTCCATAAAATCCTATTTCCAAACTTACATAATACAACAACATTCGACCAAAAAAAAAAACATAATACAACAACAGGCCACCCCATCGTTACATAATACAAAAAGAGGCGACCTCATAGTTCCATTTCCCTGCTATTGACAAATTCGAAGTTGCATACTCTTCAAGTGCGGCGACCACGACCCATGAAATTCATGACCCCGGCCACAGTCATGTTGTCCCAGTTTCCTGCCGGATCCACTATTTTTGCAAACTTACGAAATAGTTCGAATCCGCTTTCCACTTCTTGTTGCTTCAACTTGGCCATTTCTTCTGATTCCTTGAATACCATAATTGCAGTGGCAGGGGCAATTTCAATTTTTCCTTTCATTGCCTTTATATGTAGGAGATGCATGCGGGCATGATAACGAGAGCGAATTGTGCGGTTTTTTATGACACCCCATCTAGCTTGGCCCTCCACAATTTTTGAAACTATGTCTGCATGGAGATTTTTCCAAAACATTGTATTGGCTCGACATTGCTGCATGCCATGGACCAAGTCTGCAGTGAGTGAATTGGGTGACTTGCCTTCTGTTTCAATCTTCCCTCCTTCAGTAATTGAAAGCGTTTGGTTTGGTGTGAGGTTATGATCCATGGTCTTCGATATTTATTGTAGGCTGCTGTATGACTTAATTGGAAATAAAGGGATGGAAGTGAGGCTGATGGGGAAGGTAATGGCTGCAGTTAATGTGATTGCCGTTTTCACCTTCCATTCAGCTAGGTTGATTAATAAATAGGCAGCCTTTTCAGCATGGAGTAAATGACAGAGTTATTGGCGGGAGGAATGAGGGGGAGTAATTGGCGGGAGGGATTGGAGGGATTGGCGGGAGGGATTGGCGGGAGTCTTAGGCGGGATAGTCTTGGGCGGGAGTTATTACCCACTTCACTGTATGACTTTTTCTAATATATTTCTATTTTGGATGTTCCGAACTTGGTAATTTTCCCATTATGTAATTCAAATAAGGGATTTGCCTATTTGCCTAATTGACCAACTCATTCAAATTGACCAATATGGTTATTGTCTTATTTCTCATTTCAGCAATCTCAATTCGTTTCCATGTTTCCATTTTTCATATTTTCCTATTTTCCATGTGTCATCCAATTTTTCATTATTTTTGCCTATTTTTCCTATTTCCCATTTTCGTATTTTGCAATTTCCCAAGTTTCCTTTTATACTATTTCCAGTTTTCCAATCTTTTCAATGTTCCTATTTTCCCATTATGTAATTAAAATAAGTTGCCTACTTTGCCTAATTGAGAAAGTAAATAAAATTGTCCAATATGGTAATTGTTTTATTTCCCATTTCCACAATTTCAATTCGTTTCCAATTTGCCTATTTTCCACGTGTCCCTGTTTCCTATTTCCATTTATCCAATTTTCAGTTTTTGTCCAATTATCCAATTTGCTTTTTTTCCAATTGCCCTATTTTCTAAGTTTCCTTTTTTCCTATTTCCAATTTTCCAATTTGCTAACTTTCCTTTTGTTGTATTTCCAATTTTGCTATTTTCAAAGTTGCCTTATTTCCTAATTTCCAATTATCCAGTTATCCAATAGTCCAATTTTCCAATTATCCAATTTTCAATTTTCCAATTTGCGAATTTGCCTATTTTCCAAGTGTCCTTTTTTCCTATTTCCTATTTCGATTTTTCGAATTTTCCTTTTTTCGAATTTTCATGTTTTCAGAGTTTCCTTTTTTGCCTTTTGCCTATTTTCCAAGTTTCCTTTTGTTCAATTTCCAATTTTCCAATTTTCGAAGAGTCTTTATTTTCCAATGACCCAATTTTTGAAGTGTCCTTTTTGGCTTTTTCCAAATTTCCAAGTGTCCTTTTATCCTATTTCCTAGTTTCCTGTTTCTAATTTTCCTTTTTTCCTATTTCCACTTTTCCAAAATTCCAAGCTTCCATTTTTTTGTATTTTCGTATTTTTGTATTTCCGATTTTCCAAATTTCCAAATTTCCAAATTTCCAAATTCCCAATTTGTAAAATTTTCCTTTTGTTCTATTTCCAATTTTCCAAGTTTCCTTATTTCTCATTTTCCAAGTTTGCACTTTTGCTAATTTGCTATTTTGCTATGTTCCAATTTTCTTTTCTGAAATTCGCAATAAATGCTTAGTTACATAGTCCTTGTTTGGGTTCAAATCCACACTTTCCAATTTCCCATGAAGGTTAGCTTTTTTCCGTTTGTCAGCCCATTTTATTGTTGTTAATGTAATGCTGTACTGCTGTGAATTACAGCCAACGAGTTAATGGTCTACTTTGCAATCCCATCAATTGAATGCACCACCTACATACCGAATGTACTTAATATCAATTCCTACATATAACTCAAGCTTCCTATCAATAATTGCAACTTAGCCAACTTCTTCAACCTCAGAAAGGTAATGAGTCGTACTCAAATGCAAACATTCAGTCGCCAGGTGTGAATTGTCCCCATCAATAGTTCAAGATGTCGGATGTACGCCCTCCAAACGAGCATGGCAGTTACCGGGGGACCAGCCATGGCATGTGCCATTCCCATCTCCACCTCCGACTCCCAATCATGATCCCACTTCATCTGGAAGTGAGGCTGAGAGCAGTGATCCGCTTGACAAAATCTCAGCCGTCAAGCACGACCTCCAATATTTGTCTAAGGCAACAGATTGGTGGGAGACTAAATGTGATATTCATGGCCAAGTTATGGGAAATTTGGCCAACAAGTTGAACAAAGCATATGCTGGAGAAGTGAAGCAAACTTTAAAAGCAAACAGTCGGAGCAAAGAGTTAGAGTCGTTGAAGTTGAAATTGGAAGAGATAAAGAAAAATGCCGTCGATAAATTCACCAAATCTGAAGAATATAACCATGAAATGGTTGAATGTTTCAACAACGGCTTCGAAATGTTCCGAGATTATGCGTCGGTCATCTCACCAGACTACAATTGGAGTGAAATTGATGTACCTGGTGTCTGGCAGGTGCTGAATATGGGTGCTGAGGGAATGGCTCATCATAGCCTCGTGCATGCAGCGAGGAGAAAGCCCAAAGACATTGATCTTTTCATGGACCTGTAGTAAGGGTAAGTGCTGCTGCAGTTCATCTCACCCGATTACATGGATCTTTTGGTGCCTTCGGTTTTCCTTCGCGGAATAGGATTGTTAAGGTTCGGAGGCGATTTGGTTTGCATGTGTCAAATGTAGTCGTACTTTTTGGATGTGTGTGTATTGTATGTAGATTCACTTCATATTGCTGTTATATTGCGTGTATATTGCTTAATATTGCCTTGGTATTGTATACATATTGCATGTATATTGCTTAATATATTGCCTTCGTATTGTACACATATTGTATGTATATTGTTTAATATTGCCTTCGTATTGTATACATATTGTATGTATATTGCCACCCTATGAGAAGTATATTGTGATCATATCCCTATGGTATTGTACTTATATTGCTTTAATATTGCCTCTACAGTGAAGTATATTGGCCTAATATTGCTATTACATCGTATGTCAATGCCATTTGGTCTAATAACAGTCTCCATTTCGTTCAAAGTAATCCTCAATTCAAATATCACGGACAGGACAATTGTTATCCATCCTTATATTACCATGAATTGATGTTTCCTTTTGAAATGATAGTTGGAGTTGCACATCGATTCATATTCAAAAGGAAAGTAATTCTCTCCCTCAATGAATCGTCCTTCAAAAGAAGGCAGCTTTGAAATATTGGGTACAAAAATGCAAGAGCCACGGTAAATTCATTGGGCTCAAACCACATCTTACAAAACCATGATGATTTTTGGCATGCTTGAAAAGAAGGGTCAAATACAATAGAAAAGAAAATCAATTCAAGCTTGGCCAATGGAATGCACAATAACCCTTTTACATCTCCTTCCAACACCAGTGTTTTGCCTGGTTTAGGGTGCCATAAACATGTTTTCTTCCCCTGACTTTAACTAAATGAACTTTAGTTTAATTACTTGTAAGCTCCAGCTAGGTCCTTCTGTTTTCTCTTCTTCCTCTTCTTCTTCTCATGACTCTTAAGAGGCAGTTTGATGTAAAGAAATCCTAAGATTTCCATGTGATGCACACGCAATTGGAATAAATAAACAATAACAAATAAAGGGATCAGTTCATTAGTGGTTACATTTAATCTTATCTATGACAAATGTAAGAAGAAAAATACAAATTTTTTGTCAAGTCTCATTGGATGGTACCGTAGACCTCTAGCTCCATGCGGAATTTGACAGAAGAAAACTGATTCGGAATCTTTCATATTTGTAACCACTTTGCTTCTTCTCCGAGCAGGAAACAAAAATAATAATAATAATAATAATAATAATAAACGGTGTGATTTCAATTATTTCAAAACATGTATGTCAAAACCGTTTGTTTGACATCATAAGGGCATCTCTCACAGAATTAAGGCCATAAAAGAAACTAAACATGCTATAAAGTCCACATTAATATTTACTTCATCTCCATAATCATAATATTGGGGGAAAAAAACCACGGACAAATACATGAAATGTAAACCAACTCGGTACTGACTCTGAGATTGTGTACATACAACTTGGAACAACCAAACCAATTCAAGCTAAGCCATCTCATACGTATGCCTACATCAAATAACAGTGTATGGTCATCTTCTTTAGAATATTGCAATCAACACTTGGTTGAGACGGACCTGCAAAAACAACTGGCACACACATATGACACACATAGATAGAGTTTATGAATGGGAGTTCCAGAAACAAAAATTATGAAACAGGTTTAGGTTTTTTTGGGTTCAACGACAACAATCGGAATCTCAATCCAACCAGAATAAAGTATAACAGGAGAACATTTCTCCGTTCCACAGTGAGCATCAATGGGAAGGAAACGACGCTAAAGTACTTCTATTTAACATCAAAACATGGGAGTGCATAATCATATCAAAACAACAGCTCAAGAAAATTGCAAACGACACTACCAAGTCTTTAAATTCAAGATTAGAACACAACAAACAAGCTCATTTTAAAGTAGGAAGGCTACACTGAAAACGGGTCCAGTTTAAGAGTCTGCGATTGTAACCTCCACTTCCACACCAGGTTCAATTGTAATGGAAGTAATTTGCTTGACAACATCAGGTGAACTGAAGAGGTCAATCACCCTCTTGTGGACACGCAACTCAAATCTGTCCCATGTGTTGGTACCTGTAAATCACAAACACAATTTTAAAGATACATACATAACCCTTTAAATGCAAATGCAGAGACATTGTACTTCAATAACTGGTCAGTTATGAATAAACTACAATAAGCAACAAATTTACTTATGTAACTTGGCACAAACAAGGGAGCTCCAAACTCTGACTAAATGGCCATAAAAGCCATAAGCCTTGCCCATAAAGCCATAAGTTAACAACAAGAACATTTCACAGTGAAACATACCTTCACCACAAGGAGACTTCCTGGTGGTAATGTGCAGAACCTTGGTTGGCATTCTCACGGGTCCCTTAACCCGGAGCCTCTTGTCCTTTGCACCACGAACCAGATCAGTGCAAACTATCAATATAACAGGTGTCAATCCAGCAGGCTAAAGAAATATTCAAACAAGAAAAATTTTAATTCTTAATAATCTAAACAAACTTAAAAACTTTATGTAGAGAAAGTGGTGGATAAAACCCATTTCAACCACGTCACACAGCAATTAAGTAAAACTGAAATTGAACACAATGAAGCTCATAAAAACCAGAACAATCATGCAGATTAAGAAGACAATTCGGGTATAACAAACCAAATTTATTGAAAATTTCTTGCAGTGGTTTCATGTTACACATATGACACACCAGCTCCTAAACACAAATCCATCAATTTTTTCAGCAACAAGACACAAGCTCCTAAATAAATAAACAAACTCATAAAAACCCTAGTTGACCAAATGCAAACTCATAAAAACCCTAGTCAATTCACACACATGAAGACATTTACCTCATAAATATGCCTCCCCCCTTAACCCCTCTATTGCAAGCTTCAGTCGGTAATATTTGATCTTCGACGGGTCAATTTTATGCACCGAAAGCCCAGCACTGAGATGCTCGATGAATTGAACGGTCATGATTCCGCAAGACGTACTGTGAGGCCAATAAGTTGGGAAATTACAACTGCATTTATGTAAAATTTTGAAAAAATGAACTAAATTCACAATTCTTACCCATCTCGTTGTTGTGGCACACCTCCAATGATGCAAACTGAGAAAGGCGTAAACCTCGACATCTGCAGCCCCTTTTGCTTCACCTCTTCAACCTCAGAATCTTCATAAAACTTCATATTGTACAGCACTCGTGCAAGCGTATCGCTAACAGGTTGCAGAAGTGTAACCAGCTTCGAAGATTTGGTATAATCAACATATGAGTCATACACAGTTGCAGTATGTCGGACGAAATCAATTTCGATTGCAACCCAATGGGACTCTCGAAGATTATATGGAAAATACACTCTGCGGACTTTTTTCCAAGCTTGGGCATACCCGTGTTGCCACGTACCGTGCACAAAGTGATGTACATTCTTCAGCTTGTTGGCTGGAAGGTCACTGGTGTTTGAAGCTGCTGCCTTCTTCGATCCACGTGTCTTGCCAGTCGCTTTTAACGGCTCTAGAAATTGCTGCAGACATTGAAATGAAACCATATGACATAATGACGAGGGAAAGCAAATGAAGCAGTGAATGTAACATGGTAAAAAGTGTACCTGCAAGGCATAATCTGCCGTTGTCCAGTCGGTTCCAAATAGCAACGGATGAGAGAGTTGCCGTTTCCGGATAAGAAAGGTTGCCATTTCCAGGTGCTGACAGTTGACATATAATATCAGCACATTTTCAGACAATTGTACACTTAAAAAAGGTGAGAAAACAATTGAATGATCATAATAAAGTAGAGATTTGTGTATTCTTACCCTTGAGCTAATCCATGCCGTTTCATCGATGAGTTTGTAGAAAAAATCAGCGCCCACTGAAAATGCTTCAAGCTGCACCTGCACACTAGAAAAGGCAAACTTGGAACGGTTACGTTTGTACTCATCTCATAAATCTGACTTTGTTGATGACAAATATACACATGCATATTAATAGGATGACAATTGGATTTCGAAGGTCAAGAATGCGAACCTGATATCGTTTTTCCAGGCAGTGCAAAAATCTATTACTGCCTTCACATCTTCAATGGGCAGCGGTTTTGATGGATCAAAACATGGCGGGGTTGCAGTCGCATCCGACACACTCATTGTCCTCTTCTTCCTCAAAGGATCAGTAAATGGACTTAATAATGTCTGGGCCGGGCGCTTCTGTCTACAGCCTTTACCTTCCACTTCTTTTTTTTCAACACTCAAACTACCTTCTTCATCAGCAGCCATACTAATTGTAGGTATACTTGGAGGATTCATCGGACCTCCCGATGGCACTCTGTCAGCTATTTTCCAATCTTCTAACAAAAACATAAGTCTTTGGCAGATTTCGTCACACCCGGCCACATCTTCCGGGGTAGGCAGCTTCTCGGATTGTGCATGCGCAGCTGCTTCATGCACTTGTAAGTCAGGAACTGGAGTGACCATGGCTGCGGAAGGTTCGGCTCCATCACTGGGGACTTGTGTTGCCATTGCTGCCGATTTTGTGGGCGGAGTGACATTGTCATGTAATGGCGACAATTCATTGTCACCTCCTTCATTCATATGAGGAGTATCGAGGTCCTCATGTCCTTCCCCAGCTTCTTTCACCCCACCATCTTGTTTTCGCAGCTGCTCTAGCTCCAGCTTAAAATAATGCTCCATTGATGCCACTGTGTTGCGCAAATCCTCCACACACTTGTTATTTCTTTCAACTTTGGATGACTCCCTCCGTACCATTTCTTCCAACTCATGCACTCTGTTGTGAAGCGCTCGATTTGAACTGACAACTTTGGCGAATTCATCCTTCATCCTTTCAAAGTCACGCTTCAAAGTGCGTAACTCAGTGGACGCCATTTTACCCTGCAATCAGTTATAATGCAAGTGTTACAATATTTCCAAAATATATCGGAACAAAACAGCAGTTCATTT